GGGGAGCAGCGGGCGGGTCAGGAGAGGTCTGCCACGCCATGTGGTCACCTCCAGGGCAGGCAGGAGTCGAACTCATGCGGAAGCGGCTTTAGATTCTCAGTGCTGTGCTTCAACCCGCTGCGCCACCAGGGAGGGCCCCTAGTAAATGTTTTTAAGGAATTTTCAAAGATAGGAGAGTACAAAATTGAATTTATTTAATACCACTTTGAGAAATGAGAGAAAACATTTAGATCAAGTTAATTCTGAGCTGAAGCTTGTAGAGAAGAAAAGTAGCTTGGAATCATGAAAGAACCTGATCTATTAGGAGGCAGTTATTAAGTATATGTGCTAGTGTTTGTAGGAGAGCCAGGATGGGGAAGACTAGGGATTACAAGGTTATTAGAACATGAGGTTGCTAAGTTACAAATAACTGCCAAACTTAAGGTGTTTTGAGTTTTACTTAATACCCTGTAAGGAATCTATACAGTATTCCATGGAAACAAAGATATATTTTATTACAAGATATATTTTATTACAAGACATAGATATATTTTATTACAAGAAGATAATTCTGATAGTAGTGTTAGTGGGCAGAATGAGGAGTAGCACCCTAAAACTCCCAAAGCTGTATGCTCTAAATGGGCCTGCCATCTACCACACATAAGGGCAAATAGAAAAGAACTTTAATAGAATTAGTGTGCAATAAAGGGAAGAGAAAGAATATAGTTTCCAAATGAAGCGCCCAAGGCCATTCATTCCCTGTGGGGCAGTGTCCAGTCCAAACAGGGTTTGCCCAAAATGGGGCCCTGAGGACTGAAAGACTGCCACAGACCAACGCCCCTTCTGGCTGGGAACCCTAAGAAAGGAGCACAAGGGGCCAGGCAAGTCTGGAAGGAAAAGACAGTACAAGATTATGGAGGCTGCATCGCCAGCTTCTTTGAGGTCTCTCACATCTCTTTCAAGTGTCTCCTGCCATGTCCCCATGTCTCTAGTACAAGTCCAAGGTGGGGAAGGGAGCATGGCTTCTTTACTTGTCTCCCTGTTCCATGTATTTCTTCCAAGTCTTCTCTCCCAAGTCCTTTCTGGCTCCACCCTATCTTAGGTGGGGCTGAGAACCTGGAACGCCCCTTTTTATGGAGATCACACTGTTAACTGTAGGTCTGAGGCTAGCTTGGGTAGTTTCTGCAGCAGGAGATCTTGTAGCAGTCCAGCCAAAAGATACGACCTGTGAAGGTGGGGATGGAGAAAAACTAGTTCAGTCAGCACTTGTGAAGAGAACTGAAGAGGCTCAGAAATGGATTTAGAGCTATGGGATGTAAGAAAAAGAAAATATTTTTTTCTGTTTTTTGTTGTAGTCTGGAGATATATTACTTTTTTTTTTTTTTAAAGATTTATTTATTTTTGCATACAGAACTGGGGTACAGGCCAGAGGCTCAGGAGCGGCGAGTGGCTTCACCAGAGACAGAGTGGGGAGCAGAACAGGTAGATCAACGAAGTACACTGCTGAGGGGAGCAGAGGGCGGGTCAGGAGAGGTCTGCCACGCCATGTGGTCACCTCCGGGGAAGGCGGGAATCGAACTCATGCAGAAGCGGCTTTAGATTCTCAGTGCTGTGCTTTAACTTGCTGAGCCACCAGGGAGGGCCAGATATATTACTTTTTAATGTAGTTGTTCATTGACTTCTATTGATAAGCCTAATGGCTTTTCGGGCACTAAAAGGCCACCATCTGAACTTTGTTCTAAAGTACATTGTACTAGTTCACCTGAGAAATTTTAAGTGGAGATCTGGTCCAGCTTATTTAAGGGTAAATGTACCTTTATTTTCCTTGTGTTCTCTTTTATCTAGTAAGGTTGGTTTTAATCCATTTGAGTGATGACTTGCATTACAAACACTAATTTGTACTTATGATTTATATTATAAATTCATTGTTTTATATAATATAGGTATGCTGTTCTTTTTCTTAGTGTTGTCATTAAAAATTAAATAAGATTAGTCTTTTAGGTATAATTACAGATATATTAATATTTTATGAAAGACAATATTATATGCATTTCTTCCAGTTTTAAAAAGAAAAAAATAGATTACTTATTTGAGGTTATACTTCCTCTATTTCCAATGTGAGAAATATATTTTTTAGTCATATGTATTTTTTAGAAATATATTTTTTATTCCTGAGCATTCAGTAAATAGAGAAGAGATAAGGATGAAGTAACTCTATGCACTACTCAAAACAGTGTATTACCTATAAACAAAGAGTTTGATTTTACCTGGTATTTCCCGGGTGAGTGTTTATTCAATTGAGTTAAAGTAAGTTCCATTCTGTGAGAGTCTTAGAACTTACAAAGTTTTACGTGGCTGATTTGGACCTCCATGTGGGTAGGAGGATAGTTTTGACAAGTATGTTTAAATCTTGAGTTCAGTTAAATATATATGCTTTTAAATGTTATTTATAGTTGTAAGGTATCTACAAAACCCAAAGAAATTTAATTTATAAATTATATATAAACACAATTCAAAGTAATATAACTATGCCATAATGATTTATTAAAATAAATTCTTTAAGGTAGGGGTTTATGTGGGAGAAAATAACTACAGGACTAGTTATATTGTTAGCCTGCTTATTTTGACTGGAATATTAATACAGAGAATGGCAGTTCTTAAAAGTGGAAAAATGGTGAAGTTGATTATATGGAATATTTGTAACTTTGTGAACCTTATATTTAAAGTGATAGAAGGCACTACTTGCATGCCATTTTCAATAGGAGTCGCAATACTTCTGTAACACTGTCTTGATTCACAAGATGATAACTGCTTAGTAAGTCATTCATTTATTTGCTCTTAAGTTAGAAGCAATTACAGTTTGCTTATAAAAGGTAAGTGGGGCACTGAAAATATACAATAATCTGTAGTGTATACTTATTAATATTGTAAGAATGTCACTGAAGTGAAAGCCCAAAATTCATGTACAGAGCTTGTTAACTCTGACAATCTATAGGATCTAATCTGAAAATTACAGTGATCAACATCAATAAAAATGTGTTTCTTAAGCTTTTATATAGAATTCAAGATTTAAAATTGTTCTTTCAAACTTACTGTAAAGGTTTCTAAATGCTAATTTTATGGTTCTGCACTTAGTTCTCATGAACTAATAATAGTCCACAGACTAGCAGTAGTCCATGAATATGTCCTTTGAGGAACCTTTCGTAAACAATAAAAGAATGAAATGAAAAAAAAAGTAAAATGCTGGATAAATCAGAAAGGGCAAGTAAAATTAAGAAAAAATGGGCAGGATAAGTGAAAATAAATAATTGAGAATACTGAATGATATGTATTAGCTGAAAAAAGAAGATCCAGTGTAACTCTAAGGGTTGATTGAACTAAGAGAATGACTCTGTGCTGTTGAATTTTAACCGTAAGATAACTAAAAAAAATCAGAACAACTCAAAATAACTAACAGTTTTGAGTGATTAGAATCTAGTAGAGAAAAAAGCAGGTCTTTTGATCTTCCAGGAATGCAGTCTATTTATAATGCAAGATTAGTATTCTATCAGCATTTCCCTGAGCCTTGAGTCTCTGTTAATGCTTATACATGGGATCCCAAATGAATGCTGACATTTCTAGATAATGATAAATTTACCATTTAAAGTAGACAGCAGTGTGTTCAAGACGCAGAAGCAGAAAAAAAACAGAAGTTTTCAGCCAGAGGACGCCACTAATCTGCATTGAATTCTTGTGTGTGTGTTTTCACAAGTTCAAGAAAGATTTCTAAGTACTCATGAATATTAGAATGCTATAACTTTTCTGTTTTCCTTTGTAGGCCCAGATTATTCTATATCAACATGGTTACCTGGTAATGAATCATTGTGGCAGGCCACAACTGTTACATCCAATCATCGAAATATCAGGAGACATAGTATAGCTTCTGACAGTGGAGACACTGGCATTGGAACTTCCTGTTCTGACAGTGTGGAAGGTGAGTCAAAATTCTTCGTGTCTGGAAGTAAATCTTTAGAGAGTGGCTGTGATTGACAGCATTTAAAGGGACTATTTATTGCTCTAAATGAAAAACAATTATAAAGCAGTAAATAAATATTTAATAATATTCACTGTTGCTATATGTGAAGTAAAATTGCCATTTTCACCACAGTTGATTTTCGTCCATTTACTTTTTTAACTAAACTACTTATTATGACATAATTGTAGATTCACTTGCAATTTTAAGAGATTGTATGTATCCTTCAGTAGTCTCTGCCCCTTGGTAATACTACAGTACAGTGTCACAAGGATGAATATTGACATAATGTAATCAAGACCCATTTCTGTCAGCATAGCATACTGCATGCCCACATCTTCCTCCTTGCCCCACCCTAACTCTTGAAAACCACATCTTTTCTCTATTTCTGTTAACTTTTATAATTTTAAGAATGCTCTATAGGCCCTCCCTGGTGGCGCAGCGGGTTGAAGCACTGCACTAAGAAGCTGAATCCACTTCCGCATGAGTTCGATTCCCGCCTGCCCCGGAGGTGACCACATGGTGTGGCAGACCTCTCCTGACCCGCCCTCTGCTCCCCTCAGCAGTGTACTTCGTCGATCTGCCTGTTCTGCTCCACACTCTGTCTCTGGTGAAGCCTCTCACCACCCCTGAGTCTCTGGCCTGTACCCCAGGCCCAGTTCTGTATGCACAAATAAATAAATATTTAAAAAAAAAAAAAAAGAATGCTCTATAAAGAGATTCAAATAGTTTCTAGCCTGTTGGGATTGGTTTTATTCCCTGCATCCAAGTTGTTGTATGTATCAGTAGTTCATTTTTTCTCTGAATGAGGAGTGCAGTGGAGGTACTGGGTAGATTGCATTTTGCTTGCTATTCACTTACCCACTGGAAAGACCTCTAAATTTTATGTATTTTTTTTTACTATTTAGAATAAAGCTGCTATAAACATTCTTGTAGAAGTTTTGGTGTGAATATTTATCCTCATTTCTCTGGGGTAATGCCCTGATGGTCATATGGTAGTTACATGTTTAGTTTTTAATGACACTGTCAGTATTTATACAACATTTTTATCAGCAGTGGAAATGGATTGGGACAAGAGATCCAGTTTTCTCTTTATCCTTGCCAGCATTTGGTGGATTTTAAATTTTAGCCATACAAAGAGCATTTTAATTTCATTTCCTTAAAGTACAATAATAATGAACATTTTTTCCCACATGCTGTCATCTTCTTTTTTTGTGTGTGAAATGTCTCATCATGTTGTTTGCCCATGTTGTAACTGGATGATTTCCTTTTCTACTCTTGGGTTTTGTGAGTTCTTTGTATATTTTAGATGCTAATCCTTTTTTTTTGCTATGTGGTCTGCAAATATTTTCTTTCATTCTGTACTTTATGTTTTCATACTTCCATTTTTTTGCAGTGCAGAAAATCTTAAATTTGATAAAGTTTAGTGTATTAGATTTCCCTTATGTGTCATCCTTTGGAAGGTCAAATCTAAAAAGTCCTTACCTAGACTTAAATCTTGAAATTTTTTTTCATTTTTTTTCTGAAAGTTTTATCATTTCATCTTTTATGCATTTAAATCCATAATCCATTGTGAGATAATTTTTAAATAAAATGTGTATGTTCTGTCATCCCTAAGCCAATTTTAGCCTTAATGATTTGCCAGAAAGAATCACAGGATTCAGAAAAGCTATTATGCCAGCAGTTATGGTTTGTTATTGCAAAAGGATATAAATGAAATTGTTGAAAAAGAAGTCAAGGGCAGAATGTAGGGGACACCAAGTCCATACTTACAACTGTTCTTTCCCAGTGGAGTTAGCTGCCAGTTATTAGTTCCAGTGATGATGCATTACTGCAAATATAGAATATTGCTAACCAGGAAAGGTTACCTGATCCATGGTGCCAGCATTTTTATTATGAGATAGTTATGTTGGTATGGTTATCTGTCTCCGTGGATGACTTTACTTTCTGAGCCCTGAAAGATAAGCTGATCTCATATGCAATGACCCCTCTTCCTTAAGTCACATTATTATCATACACTATATGATGTTACCTTAGGTCCCCAGATAAACAATGATACTCTTATTAGACGGATTTTCCAAAGGTTAGAGATTACCTCTGGGACTCAAACAAGGGCCATGTCTTTCCTGGAATGTACAGTGTCTGCAAAACTAAAATATGCTTAATTCTTACTGCCCAATGTAAGGCCAAGATTGTTTTGCCTAGTAAGTCTTAAGATTAGGTATTGTAATTATTCCCACATTATTTTTTCCCCCAAAGTTGTGTAAAAGTACCTATTACAATTCCTTTAGTTTTCTAGAATCATTTTGTCTGTATCTACAAAAAAAAAAAAAATCTAACTGGAAATTTAATTTGTATATCAGTTTAGGGAGAATTTGACATGTTTATTCTGTTGAGTCTTTTAGTCTCCATTGTTTCTCCATTTATTTAATTTTTTTTTAAGATTTATTTATTTCTGCATACAGAACTAGCGTACAGGCCAGAGGGCCATGAAAAGATTCACCAGAGACAGTGGGGAGCAGAACAGGCACATAGTCAAAGTACACTGCTGAGGGGAGCAGCAGGTGGTTCAGGAGAGGTCTGCCATGCCCTGTGGGTCACCTCTGGGGCGGGGATTAAACTCATGCTGAATTGGCTTTAGCTTCTTAATGCTATGCTTTAACCCACTGTGCCATCAGGAAGGGCCCTTATTTAATTTTTTTATTCACCAGTACTGAATAGTTTTCAATGTACATGTTCCATACATATTTGTTAGATTTATAGATAAATATTTTATTTTGGAGGGAGTTTTTATAAATTATACTACCAATTTTGGTGTCAATGTGTTATGTTAATATATAAAACTACAGTTGACTTTGTATGTTTAGCTTGTATTTTGTGACATTACTGAACTAACTTTAGTTCTAGGACTCATACATGGTAGCTCATAAAATCTTCACAGCAACCTTCTGGGGAAAGAAAGTGATACTCAGAGATTAAATTACTTACTTAAAATAACTTAGGTAAAATGTGTATAACTTTGTCTCCTTTGTACACAGCCAACAAATATAGTATGTTCAAAATATTCAATGAAAAATTAGAAAATAACTTTTAAGTGTTTATCAGTAAGAAATGGTTGAATATTTTACTGTCTGTCCATTTAAAATAATTAGGCAGCTATGTATGTACCATCTTAGAAAGGGATTCAAACACATTTCCAGGTTAATAGAGCACATTGAACACTCTTCTTGAACTTTGTTGAAGTTCTACCAAAAGTTAGGGAAGGGGTGGTGGGGGAAGTTAAGAACAAAGTGTAAAACAGCCTGATGATGACCAGGAGAATAAGAGAGAATACTAAAATTCTTTGAATAAATAGGAAAAAAAATAATGAATGATTTCCAGTGTTAAATTTAGATATTTCCTTTACCAGAAGGTGGAGTTTAATCCTCCCTGTCTAACTTCCTTCCAGAGAATAGAATCTAGAGAGGGGAATAAATTACCTTACAATGGAGAAACCTGTCAAGTCTGGCACTGCCAGTTTCTGAGCCTTTGGAAGAATTTTAATAATATATTGACAGCTTACTCCTGAATTTCGCTGTTGCTGATGTAGAATTCAGCTATTTGGAGTCTGCTAAGTGGTATTGTGACTCATCATTTAAGTAGTATTGTGGGAGTAGCAAGTCACAATTGGGAGTTGTCTTTACTCCCAGAATTTTGGTTACTTTTTAACAATTTTTAGGTAAAATGTGTGAATGCATTTGAATTAAAAAAATATTTATTGAGATAGTTACTTTACAATACTATATATAGTTTAGGAGTATAGGCTTACACCTTATAAATCTATGTTATGGCTTTATCCTTCATTCACTTGAATTCTTAAGACTGATAACTGTGAAAACCTCAGTGTACATATTGAATAGCTGCATGTTTTACATATTACAAAAGCTTGGATATTAGCAAAACTTGAGTTATCTCTTATGCCTTTATTTATACTATTTGATATAATGTACATACCTACAACTATCATCAGTTACTGTCAATCCCTTTCTGAAGATATTTGAGCTAATTTATAGGAATCAACAGTGTAGAAGCCACTAGTAACTCGTTGCTATGTGAATAGTTGATTTGTGCCTGGTCCAAATTGAAATGTAAAATGCACATCGAATTTCAAATACTTTATGTAACAAGTGAATGTAAAATATGTTATCAATATTGTCTGATTATATGCTGAGATATTAGATATAGTGGGTTAAGTAAAATGAAATAGTTTATTTTATTTTTTGATTTGGCTACTAAACTGAAAAGTTACATATGCAACTGAATTCTATTTCTGTTGGAAAAATGGACATACTAGTACTGGTAGCCTGTGACTTGTAAAGAGTTAACTTTCAAATATTTTGTGTGTGTGTGTGTGTATGTTTCTCAATAGAAGTAATATTTACTTCTCAAAATAGCTCCTATCAATCCACTTAATATAATATTATAGACATTTATATCATTAGCATTATGTCTACAGTAAATTATGTTTTGTCATTCTGGGGCTACTGAAAGCATACTCCTTTTTGCATTTTGACATGGTTAAGAACTTCATTGCAGTGGGATTACTGGTCTCCTTGGCAAAGAGAAAGTAAAGATGGGTGTGGTAGGGTGTAAAGGTTTGGGTTAGGAAAGATTTTAGATTGGAAAATTTCTGAAATTCTGAAGACTTCTTATTCAATTGAGGAATAGCAAAAAGGAATAATGTCAGTAGTTCCTGCTAGAAAATTCCTGTTGGGTCTAGGGCAAAGGCCTTCAGCTGGCATGCGGAACATTTGCCTAAATAAAGGAGGTCCCAGATTGAGAGTGTCAAAGCATGGATTTCTCTTAGACCAGGTAGGTAACATGAAGTTGAGTTATCCCAGGTGGGCAAGTATGATTGCACCAGTCTTTCGTATGGTTGGAAATTAAGTATTTAGAATCAAAGAGTTTATCTTGTTCAAGCT